GGACCTGGGCTAGGACTGGGTCTGGGGGTTCCCGGAAGTCGGCAGAAATTCCTACTCAGCGGGAGGGGCGGAGTGGTGGTGGGGCGGCCAGAGGGGGTGGGAGAGGGTCCGGCCCACGCTGCGCCTGGGCTGGGACTGGTCCCGCAGGCCCAGGGTAGCAGGAAGCTCTCCACACACTCACCGGACCTGGGCTAGGACTCGGTGTATTACCTTTAATTTGTGTATGTTGAACCATTCTTGAAACTGTTGAGATGAAATCCACTTGGTCATACTATGTTCCTTTTGATGATTTGTTGTATTCTATTTGCCAGTGTCTTCTTTTAGGGAAGGTTTATTTTTTGGTTTGGTGCCAAGAACTAAACCCAGGGCTTCCAGCTTGCTAACCAACCATTCTACTGGTGAACCAAATCCCCAGTCCCACTGGTATCTTCTTAAGAGTCTTTACATCTGTATTCACTAAGGAGATTGGCTTGTGGTTTACTTTCAGTTAGATTTTGGTTTGGTTTGGGGATCTGAGGGATGCTGGTTTCTGGAAATGAGTTTAGAAGTATTTCTTGTCTTAAACTTCATTGAAGAACGTAACAGATATTGGTGTTGTAATATCTTTAAATATCTTGTAGAATTTAGCAATGAATCCATCAAGTCCTGAAGTTTGTAGGTCATTTATTACCCCCTCAATTTCATTGCTTATTATTAGATTGTACCAAGTTTTCTATCTTCTTGATTAAATTTTGGTAACTCATATGAATCTAAGAATCTGCCCATTTTTAAATCAAAATTTTTCAATTTATTCGAAAACAAGTTTTCATAATAGCTATCTTCTGAATTTTAATAGTGTCTGTTGTGATTTTTTCCTTTGTCATTTCTAATTGCATTGATGTTAGTCTGCCTTTCTTTTGGTAAATTAAGCTAATAGTTTATCTATTTTGTTATATTCTTTCAAAGAACCAGCTTTTAAGTTTGTTGAGCTTTACTTTAGTCTCAATTTCATTAATTTCCACTCAGATGTTTATATTTTCCCTCTTTAAATTCACATTATCTGCAAATGAAATAGCTGCCCCTGCTTTTTTCTGAGTTTTTGGTCTCATGGAATATTGTTTTCTATCCTTTGGCTTTCTTTGAATTCCTTCCTTTTAAAATTAAAAGTTTCTTGCATGCAGCATGTTGTTGAATTTTGCTGTTTTTTAAAATTTTCTTTAAAAATTTATTCATTTATTTATTTGGTAGAGGGTCACACTGTGCAGCTCAGATCCTTGTACTGATCCTGCTGTCTCAGCTTCCCCGGTGCTGGGATTATAGGCGTGTACCACCATGCTTAGTTTTGGGGCTGGCATGGTGCACCTGGGGTTCTGGTGCTATTCTGAATATACAGATACAAAATGATTGTTCATTTGTATCCTCTTTTTTGTTTAGTTTTGTCAGAGAAGGGTATTCCATTCTCATTTAAATATTATAGGTGCGTGAATTCAGCAAGATATTTCAATATAGTCCAGTAGTCCACAACAGTAGCGGGTCATCCGTAGGACTGGCAATGTCAGAAGTTGTTGACCTGAGCCCCCTACAGCTCAACATATTGATACTACTTTCCTTTTTATACCTCGCCTCTATACTTTTCTGCTGGATGGTTAAGACCAAGACAAAGCAAGAAGACCCAAGATCTATTTAACAAGAAATGTAGCTTTTGTATCTGACAAGGCCAGTCAGATCCTCTCAGGATTTATCCTGAAACCCTGTACTGTAGTCTGTAGATCCCCTGTCAGTGTTAGCCCTGTGGATGAGCCACAGCCACCGCCTGACCAGTTTGCTCTCTGTGAAACCTGAGAGAATGCTCTCTCTCCATGTGACTCTCCCTAGGCACACACCACATCACCAATCACCCTCCTCTGTGGCCCCACAGTCTCTCCCATTAGAAAACTACTCCAGGCATGTCCTCTTTGCCTCATCCAGAAGCTGCTGGATTTTTTTTTTTGTGGGGGGAGGGCTGGCTCAGCCTGCCCTGGGGGTGGGGCTGGCACAGCATGTGGTGCTGGGGATCAAGCAGCTGTTGGATTGATTTCTCATTCTCTTTCTATTTTAAAGAAATCTTTCTTCATGATCACTAAACACAAGCCTGTCTTCTTTATCTGAGATTCTATCCTCTCATTGGCTTATCCTGCTGCAGATACTTTCAATGTAATTGTTATTCTCCTGAATATCTACTTGAATCTGCATTGTAAACTTCATTTCTTTCTTATGCTGAATGTTATTACTACTATAATTTTCTTAAGCTCCTCTATTTTATCTGTATCTGCTGTAGAGCCACTAAGCATAGTTTTCATTGTGGTCACCATCTTGGCAATAATCTTAAAAATATCTCTGATTTGATTTTTTCCTAGAGCTTCTTTCATTTACTTTGTTGTTACCCCTTCAGAGTGGTCTTTTTTTTGTCTTGCAGCTGATTGTCTTTTTTCTTTACCCTATAATCTTTCCTTTGTGCTCCTGGTGTCTGTGTGTGTGTCCTAATTTCTTTCCCTCACAAAGACATCAGTCATGTTGAATTAGGGCCCACCTGAAAAGTTTCTTTTTAAGTTAGTTACTTCTTTAAAGACCCTGTCCCCAAATACAGTCATATTCTGAGGTAAAAGGGTTTAGGACTTCAACAAATGAATTTTTGGGGAATAAAATTCAGCCTATAATAGCTACAACTGAGTGAAGGTCCAGAGGGGAAAAAAAAAACTACTTTTCTTTTTTTATGTTTTAGACTTTGATGACAGCATGTTTGTTAAGACCTCGACTCCTGAGGAGTGGATTGCACAAGGAGAGTATTATGCCAAGCACCAGTGCTGGAAGGTAAGTAAGTGCAGGACCCAGGGTCAGGGATGAGAGTTTCTTGTGGTCACTGGACTTGTCAGGCCTAATGACCAGATTTCCACACTTGCATCTGTTATCTGGACAAGATGGGAGATAATGGTGCTTGTTGTACTTCTTCTGAAATACCAGGTGAGCCTGAGATGAGAAGAGTTCTTGTGTTGCTTTCCACCAAGTAAATGCAGGCATGATAGCTGTTCTTTTTGGCCAAGTGCCTACCTATGCTGGCATGTAAAAGGAGGGTCATAACCCTCTCTTTCTCCTTCTGTAATCCAGGCTTAAACACTTTGCTATTATGATATCATATTTTAAAGCAGTAGCAGAGAAATTACTTGTTTGTGTTTTTAGACTTCAAGAGATAGACTTTACAGCCAATCTGAGTTTAGTGAGCCTGGGATAAGCTTTATTACCACATTACACTGACCAACCTCCAGCTTCAAGTCGTTATAGTGAGCCTGAGCAATCATCTGTAATGGGCTTTATAAAATATTGAAACCAGATAAAAGAAAGAGCTCATCATTTTCCCTACACATTTTAAGGTCTCAGGGGGACTATGACTGGTGTCTGCCATGAGTATTGGTGATCATGTCTTTACCTGAAAATCTCAAAAGCTCTACTAAAAGAGTAATGTTAAATTTTTTTAACCCAATAAGAAGTTTGTTCTTTGGATTTTCAGAATCAACCTGAGCCTAATCCTCCATTTCTTCCTTGTATCATCTGCATCTTGTCAGAGATGTTCTGCTTCGTGGTTGCATAATAGTTGTCAGAGCAACTCCAAACATCTTGTTCCCCCCCAATAATATCTCAAGTGGAATGAAGAGCAGGCACTTCTTTCTCATGCCTGGTCCACCAGTAGATTTTCTTATGCATCTCATTGTTCAGAATGAGGTCATATCCCTCTCCTAGCTACAAAGGATTTTGGTAGTGTTGTCTCATTTGGTGATTTCATCTTTTTATAGGAATTAGGTTCTGCCATTAAACAAGAAAGGGAGGAGAGAGCCATAGGTAACCAACAGTGTCTGCCTCCCAACAGGCATTACCACATAGAATGTGTACTTCCCTAAGTTTATGACTACTCAGGTACCTGGGGTAGCCTCCTAACTCATGCCAACAGCAATATGAGTTTGAACATCAAAAATTATAGCAAAATGCCTGCAGCTTCCCTTGCCACTTCTCCTTCACCCTTTCCCTCTGCCTCTGTCCTTCCCCTCCCTTCCCCCTCTGTCCTCTCCCCTCCCCTCCTCTGTCCCTCCTCCTCTTCCTTCTCTTCTTCTTCCTCCTCCTCCTCCTCCTCCTCCTC